AGTATGTTTCTGGACTCTCAAATCTATCCCCTTGATCTTTATGGCTACCCTAATGCCAGTACCACAGAGTCTTCATTACTGTACCTTTGTAATAAGTTTTGAAATTGGGAAATGTGATTTCTTCAACTTTGTTCTTTTTCCCTCCCAAAGCTTCTTTTGGCCATTCTTCGTCCCTTGCATTTCCATATGAATTTTTGGATCAACTGATGAATTACTGCAAAGAAATGCTCTTGGGATTTTGATAGGGGCTGCATTGAATCTGTAGATCTATGAATGCAAGCTGTCTTTGTATTTATTTAGGTTATTTATTTATTTATTTATTTAGTTTTTAGTGTAAAAGTTTGTTTGTTTGTTTGTTTTTTAAAGAAAAAATGTATTTATTTAAGGGAAGGGATATACAAAGGGAAGGGCTGAGCCAAGGAGATATTGGGTTGATGATGGCAGCACCCAGGAGCTGGAGTTTCATCTTTATATGTAGTCACTGGTGGGAAGCTCTTGTAAGTGGGTCTTGGGGCTTAGAATGTGAATGGAAAGCGAATGCTCAATCAGGTGTTTTTAGGACAGTTTTAATTCCTTATGTGGTCTCATTCCTGGTGCCCAATAAGTTTTCCTGGTCTTTGTCCTGTGTTGAGAAGCTTGGACAAGTCTTCCTTGTCTTTGTTCTCCTGTGGTGGGAAGCTTATAAATGGCCGTTAAGGATTATATTGACCTATAGTCCTAACAGACAGGCGAGCAGATTTAAGGGTACACACCTGAGGTCCAATGCAAATGGCTCAGACTCAGGGCACTATTCTCCCTTCAGGCTTCCATATTCGGGGCTATTCAGATGGTTGGTGCAGCTGCTACTGTTGTCAGAGGAAGATGCCAGTGTGGCCAAAAGGGGGCCACATGCTAACCTGACTAGCTCAGGGAAGGTCTGCATGGCGGCCTTGCAAACTCAACAGACCTCCTCTTTTGATTATATGTATAAAAACCTAACCACTGACTACCAGGGGACAGATGCTCAATGCACAGGATCAGGCTCCCTCCTGTCTGGATGGGCCTGCGGGGATTGGGCCGAAACCAGTTATCCGACATCCCCTGAGGGGTCCAGGATTGTGAGAGGGTGCAGGCTGAGGGACCCCACCGGTGCACAAATTCATGCACCGGGCCTCTAGTAATGTATATAAAACAGGGTACAAATCTGTCCTTCTCTGGAGCATTATCTCAATCCATTGAGATTCTACTTCCCATGTGGTTCGTGTATTAGGCAGTGAGTTGAGCTCTGGATGATGACTCTGATCGAGGCTGTGGGGCTGTGTGTGTGTTGGAGGGTGGGGAGATGTCAGCAGGGGACTGCTATGGCTAGAGAAGCTCACTCTTGGTGCCAGCTCTCTCAGCAACTAAGTTTGTACTTCTTTTGTTGAATTTATTCCCAAGTATTCTTTTTTAAAAACAATATTTTTATCGATTTCAGAGAGGGAGAAGGGAGAGAGAGAGAGAAACATCAATGATGAAATAGAATCACTGATTGGTTGCCTCCTGCATGCCCCCTCCTGGGGATTGAGCCCACAACTCGGGCACGTGCTGTGACTGGGGGATTTTTTCCCATTGATTTTTAGAGAGAGTGGAAGAGAGAGGGAAAGACAGAGAGAAATATTGATGTGACAGAGACACATAGATTGGTTGCCTCCTGCACATGCCCTGATCAGGGCCCGGGCCGGGAAGGAGCCCGCCCTTGACTGGAATGGAACCCGGTACCCTTCAGTCCACAGGCAGGCGAGGCTCTATCCACTGAGCCAAACGGCCCAAGTATTTTATTCTTTTTGATGCTGTTGTAAATAGAATAGTTTCCTTAGTTTCATTTTCAGATTAACTGCTACTGTACAATAATATAACTGATTTTTGTATATTGATCTGACATTCTGCAACCTTGTTGAACTTATCATCTCTGATAGTTTATTATTTTTATTTTTTTCGGGGGGGGGGGTAGGTAGATTCCTAAACATTGTCTAGAGACACGATCATGTTATCTGTGAATAGTTTTCCTCCTTCGCTACTGTACAATAATATAACTGATTTTTGTATATTGAGCTGACATTCTGCAACCTTGTTGAACTTATTATCTCTGATAGTTTATTATTTTTATTTTTGGGGGGAGGGTAGGTAGATTCCTAAACATTGCCTATAGACACGATCATGTTACCTGTGAATAGTTTTCCTCCCTTCTTTGTCTTTACCTCTTTTTCTTACCCAATTGCCCTGGCTAGAAACCTCCAGTGCAGTGCTGACTAGCAGTGCGAGTGGACGTCCTTATTTTATTCCTGATCCTAGAAGGCAGGCTTTCAATATTTCACCATGAAGTATTGTTAGCTGTGGGTTTGTGTAGATGTCCATTATCAGGTTGAGGACTTCCCTTCTATTCCTAGTTTGTTGAGTGTTTTTTATCATGGAATGGTGTTGGGTTTTGTCTAATGCTTTTTCTTCATCTATTGATAATTTTGTGATTTACTCTGTTCATATGATGTATTGTGTTGATTTTGACATTTTTGGACCACCGTTGCATTTCTGGGATAAATCCCACTTGGTATGGTGCATAATTCTTTTTATATGTTGCTATATTTGTACTAGTATTTTGTTGAGGATTTTTGGTGTGTGTCTATATTCATAAGAAATATCAGTCAGTAGTTTTCTTAAATATTTGTTAGAATTCATCAAACTTTTTTTTAAAGCTTTATTGGGTTATAATTGATATACAGAAAATTACAATCTTTCATTTTCTTTGAGATACATGTTTACATTTATACATTTCCCTGTGCATGTTGCTTTAGCTGTATCCTGTAGGTTTTCCTATGTTGTATTTTCAATTTTCTTTCATCTCAAAGTATTTTCTAATTTCTTTGTGATTTTTTTCTCTGACTCATTGGTTATTTAGGAATCTGTTGTTTAATTTGCACATAGTAGTGAATTGCCCAATATTTCCTTCCTTTGTTTTCTAACTTCATTCCATTGTGGCCAGATAGCATACTTTATAAGATTTCAGCCCTTTTATATGCCTTCCTAGAGAATGCTCCATGTGCCATTGATGAGAATGTGTATTCTGCTGCTGTTTGGTGGATTGTTCTATACATGTCTCTTAGCTCTTGTTGATTTATTGTGTGTTGACATTTTCTGTTTCCTTGTTGATCTTTTGTTCAGTGTTCTGTCCATTGTTGAAGGTAGGTATTGATGTCTCCCAACTATTATTATTGCTGTATTTCCCTTGCCCCATGCTATTTTTACAGCTGTGTAGTGTTCCTCAGTCTGGACCAATCCCACTAAATCCAGTGACTCTTCTACATGCGCTTTTAATTTTCTGGTTTTCTAGTATCCCCCTCCTGATGGAGCCTGTGGGTCTTCAGGCTTGTGTGTCTGCTGTGCCGAGGGCTGATTCCTGTAAGGGAGATGCTGTGTTGGAGAGGAAGCGGATTTAGAATCATCTTGCCAGGTCTGCCTGGAAAGGCTGTGCCAAGGTCCTTCTGAGGTGCCCCCCGTCACCTTTGTGAACTGTCCTATGGAATAGAGTCTCACACTTGCCAGGCACTGGGTTACTGTGACTCATCCTCATTCTGCTGACAACTTGACGGGGTTGGCACTGTTATTTCCCCCATTTTAGATTGAACAACAAATTTAGGAAAGTGACAACCCTTGTCCAGGTCACATGGTGAAGTTATGGCTGAGCTGTTCAGCTTTGGGACTTCTCAGTACAACTGAAAAGTTGCAAATTAATATTTGCTTGGTATAAAAGTTACAAAATAGTCTTAAAAGACAGAAATCCAGATCACATTGGAGGCTATAAAACAGAAAGTTTCCATTCTCACTCCACGGACAACCTCCATCCAGGTTTGGTTATCTCCTCCAAGCTTGTTGTCCCTACTTAGGCCAGAAACATACACAAACATTGAAAAAAAAAAAAGGGGGCAAAATTGGAGGACACTATCAATTCTGTGCATCTCATTTGGTTTTCAGCACTGTAGCCTGAATTGCTTCCTGGGCCAGTTCCAAGACCAATTTAGCCAACTTCCTGCTGATGGACATCAAAGTGGTTAATGGGTTTCACTCTGGAAAGCACTGCCACAGGGAGTGGCTATCCTTGCAAACCCACCTAGGAGAGCAGAGTGGTCAGTAGGGGCAGTCTGAGGAGGTGACGTCTGTGTTGAGAGGAAGCCAGGATGTGGAAAGGCTTGAGGAGACATTCCAGGCTGGGAGTCAGCATTTGCAAAGGCCCTGAGGCAGGAGTAGGTTTGACTTTCCCTTGACCACTAGGTTTGACTGGAATTAATGAGCAAGGTGGAGGTGGGGGCTCAGAGCAGGAAGGTTACAGGGCAATTGCTCAGGGCCTTGGAGGCCGGAGGAAGGAACACTTTGGAGCAGAGGAGAGATGTGATCCTGACTCATTGTAAGTTTTCCTTTGGTTTTACAGGACAAACATCCTTTTGGGCACCACAATAAGAACTTTTCAAACCCTTCTAATTACCCTCTGAGGCATGGCATTATTCCCACTTACCAAATGAGGAAACTGAGGCACAAAGAGGTGACCTGCCCTGCCCATATTGTCCAGAAGGAGAGGGCAGTGCCTGGATTCAGCTGGGCTCTGAGAAGCCCAGAGCCAGGGCAGCTGGTTGCCATGGGCCACTTCCTGCTTTTGCTCCTGGCCTGGCCGTCAGTTGAGACCATAGAGCAGGTGACACTTAGGGCTGAGTGCCAAGGGCGGGCCTGGCTCTGGAAGCTGCAGAATTCCTGAGCAGGGTGCAACCTGCTGGGAATTTTGTGAAGGGGTGGTGTCTGGAGTGGGATGGTAAAAGCCAATAAGATGTCTTCCCGCCCCACTGCCTTCTGAGCCGCGTTCTCATTTGTACAATGGCAGGTTTGGTTTTTCACCCCAGAGCATTGATCATCTGCCTCGTGCCTGGCTCTGTGTTGGGAGCTGGGGAAAGGCCTGAGAACGTGCCAGGCAGAGGACCCTGCCCCCATGAGGCTACCACTCTACTGGGTGGATGGCTGGGAAGGGGCAGATCACAGCCTGGTAAACAAATCAGTAAACTGGAGGTTGCCAGTTATGAGAAGAATTGAGAATTGATCAGAATGGTGTGTGACAGAAGCTGCTTCATATTAGGGGTGAGGGTAGGGAGGAGACAGTTGGGCTAGGAGTTGCCTGCTGGCCAGTTGAATGCTACAGGGAGAGGGTCCAGGCCCAGGAGCAGACAGTACAAATCTCTTGAGGCAGGAGCTTGCCTGGTGTTTTGGGGGAACATTGAGGAGGCCAGGAGCCAAGCGAGCGAGTAGGAGGCTAGGAGGAGGTGAGGACAGGGAGGTGACTGGGCAGATCATGCAGGGCCTTGTGGGCTGTGGGGAGGGAGGTGGGAGCCTGGGAGGGTTCTGAACAGAGGGGGCACATGCCACGACTTGGCATCCAAAGGTGTCCTCTGGCCACTCTGGAGAAAACGGTGTGTGGGGGTGAGGGAGGGCAACCTGAGGGTGCGATTGCACTGTTCCAGGCAAGCACTGATGGGCCAGGCCAGTGGCCTTGGAGATGGAGAGAATTGGCTGCATTGGAAGGTGGAGCCATCAGGACTTACTGCTGGGTGGGGTTTCTTGAAGGGGTGGGTGAGAGGTGGGAGGAGCCCAGGCTTTTGACCTGAGTGAGGAGTGTAACCTTGACCCTTCGGGTGACCACAATGACACAGTGGCACCTGCCTGGAGACACTGAGTGTGGGCTGGGCTCTGGGTGATCAATGGTCACTGTTGGATAGTCACTACTGGGCGCAGATGAGGCAGGGACCATGGCAGGGTGTGCACAGGCTGGATGTTGAGGCTCTGGAGACTGAGTGATAAGCTCTACTCGATTCTAGCAAAACCACAGAGGAAACCCCCTTGGAGATAGGGGTGACTGGGGTGTCTCCCCCATTGGTGTCCCACCTGTGTTCCCATCCTGGCTTTGCTTTTTCTGGCTGAGTAGCCTGGGCAAGTCCTAATACTCTGAGCCTTAGTCTATCCATTTGTGAAATGGGTGTATTGCCCTGGCCTCATTCCTTCAGTGTTGCTAGAGGGTTTGCTGAGATGTTACCCATGGTGGCCAGTGGTCCTTGTGGGGTGGTCATGACTGAGGCCCGGAGCGTGGGGACCCTGCTGACCTTGTGCTAAGGTCTCACGGCCACACTGAGGCTTTGAGTGACTCCAGAAGGGTGTGGCGATAAGGAAGGGATCCCAGCCCAGGGCCCTTGCTGGGCGCCTGTTACCAGATTGGTCAGGCAAGGGGTGGCCTGGGCATTCACTGGATCTGGGTTGGGCTTGTTGCTGACTCATCCTCTGCTGGCTTATCTGTTTATTTTCCCTTCCCTGGGAAGGCCTGCCCACCTGCCAGCCTGGGGTGTTGGCCTCCATTGTTCCCCCATGCAGGAGTTCCCATGCTCTTGTTGGCTGGAAGTCAAAGGGCTTCTGTTGGGGCCTTGTGCTCTGTTCAGGGGACATTCCCTGAGCCCTCATCACCTTCCAGGGAGAGGTGGCCCATTTTAGAGTTGGTAAACTGAGGCTCCACAGGGGTGAAGTGACTCATGCTAGGTCACACAGCCAGCCGGGCCCTCTTTGGTGATTGGGTGGCATCCTCCCATCCCCCAGGTAGCTGAGCCAGTGTTCAGAGAGGGTGGAGACCTGTCCAGGGCTTGTGGAGGCAAAGCTGACCTTTGAACCCAAGCTGTCTGGCTCCAGAGTCCGTGGACTAGACCTCCACTGGAGGCTGTATTGGTGTGTGGAGGATGCACATTTGGGAGGAAGGGTACATTTTACTGCATCTGCCCATAGGTGAATGAGCAGGGCCTGTGGGGAAGGATTTCTTGGTAGAGGGTACAGCCCTGTGCCTATACCTGTTTGCTGATACCCAGCTGTCCTCTGAGGTGGGTGGAGTTACACACCCCTCCACCCCCTTACTGACAGGAAACCAGACCAAGAAGCAGGGGAGCCAGCCCAAGGTCATACAGCCTGGGTGCATGGTGGCCCTTGTAGCAGTGGGGAAGAGAGAGGAGGGAGGTGGAACCTTCGAGCCACAGTGAGGGATGTGGTCACCCGTGGAGCATGGGTGGGGTCAAGGAGGAGGAAGCAGATGACTGAAGCTTGAAAGTCACCTCCAGATAAATGGACAGTCAGTGTTCCGGGCAGAGCTGCTTGGGGGAGGTTTTCTTCCACCACGCCGCCATGAAGGCCCCAAGAGTGCCCCGGCTGCTGTGTGCCAGGAATGCTGTGGGGGGCCTTAGGGCACAACCGGACAGGCCCCTCTTCACCGAGCCCCTGGGAAATTTCTGGGGGCTGCTTTTGGGGGCTGTCCAGGCCGAGAGTGGGTATTGCTGCTCTCTTTACTCAGCAGTCCAGGAGCTTCTAGAAATGCAATTAGATGAGGCCCAGGGCTCCTGGCTTGTGAGGACCCCCCTGCCTGCCCATCCTTGTCCTTCAGGCTTCTCCCCAACGGGCTCTGCCTCCTTCACCCAGGCTGTGTCCTCCACTCATACTTCCTGCTCACCATGAAGTCCCAGCCACAGAAAGCCACCTTCCCCTGTGTGTGCCCAGAGCTGTCTGGCTTCTCTTGGGCATCATGCTAGCCCTCGTGTTCTCAGGCTCTCATTGTCCAGTCCATGTCTGTGGTGTCACCATTGTGCTCACGTGCCCCCCCCCCCCCCCCCAGACATGTCCAGAGCAGTCACAGAGGACACACGTACCAACACCAGTGGCAGAAGGCCTGGCCCTGGCTGGGGAGACGCTGGCGGCTTCTGTGTCAGATATTTGGGCCCAGAGGCCTGGTGACCTGGTGGTCAGAGGCTCAGACCCCATGGGTTACAGTCATGCTCACGCCACTCCTGAGCACTAGGTGACCTTGCAGAGCTGCCTGTCCTCTGGGCCTAGTTGCAGACTCATCTTTGTGGTTCTCGTCATGGTTAAGTAGGTAAATCCATGGAAAGTTCTCAGCTCCTTGTCTGGTATACGGTGGGCACTCGACAACAGTTAACTACATTTTTTTAAAAGTAATTTTTTAGAGTCAGTAATCCATATGGTTGATAATGCACAATTCAAGGATGTTCCAGAACATGCAATGATTTTTCCTTCCCAGCAGGCCCCAGCCTCCATGGGCTCGATTTTGTTGTTGTTGTTTTTTCCTTTAGTTGCAGAACACACTCATTTATTTCTGCATCTTTTGTTTTCCTCAGTATATCCAGATGGAAGTCAGGAGATAAAAAGCCTATGTGTGTGTGTGTGTGTGTGTGTGTCTCCACAGTAGTGTGAATGGGCCTTAATTTATTTAATTAGCCCCCAACCCCCACCCCCATAGGCTTTAAAGTTCTTTAGATCTGAGCTATTCTTACTGGGAAACTAACATGATTGTAATGATTTTGTGGGGAAATTTTAATGGGCTGTTTGTACTTTCCCGAGGTTTATTATATTTTTATATTGATTGATTTTTAGAGAGAGAAAGGAAGGGAGAGGGAGGAAGGGAGGGAGGGGGAGGAGGGAGAGAGAGAGAGAGAGAGAGAGAGAGAGAGAGACATCGATTTGTTGTTCCACTTATTTATGCATTCATTTCTTGCTTCTTGTTTGTGCCCTGACTGGGGATTGAACCCTCCACCTTGGTGTATCAGACGACACTCTAACCAACTGAGCTCCCTGGCCAGGGCCTCTGTACTTTCCTGAGTCATGAGCATGTCTTCTTGGACTTATTTATACGTTTGGCCTTTTATTGAGATTTAACTTAGATACAGGAGCTCGCCCAATCTTAAGTGTTTACTTTGATTTTTAAAATAAATGCATGTCCACCCAGGTAATCACTAGACAGATCACAACAGAGGGTGCTGTCATCATCCCAGAAGTTCTCTCATACGCCTACCAGTAGTTACCTCAGAGGGAAACAACTGCTCCGATTTCTGTCAGCAGAGACTAGTTTTGCCTGTTCAACTTCAAGTCTACTCTGTGCCTCAGCAGGTGAAACAAGGGCATATGTCAACAAAAGGCACGAGTGAGAATGTTCATAGCAGCTTTATTAGGGACCTGAACTTGGAAAGACCCCCAAACATCCCATCTCCTAGTGAATGGGTAAACAAACTGTGGTCCATTCATGCAATGGAATATGGGTCAGCAGTGAAAACAAACTGCCTCCTCTGGCACTCTCTAGGGTCTCAACAGGGGTCCCCAACACAAATAGGGTGCCCCTGAGACACTATAGTTGTCACAGTATTGGGAAGCAAGGTGGCACCAATGCACTAGGCTGGGAACTCAGGGCCGCTGTTGTCTTGCCATATGAGGCACAGCTGCACACCTGTCCAGCCCCAATTGTCCTATGTCCTGCACAGATTTCAAATAATCCAAATGTTTATCTTGGTACAAACATTGTTTGAAATTCCCTGAGTCTAGATAGAACCTTTCTCCGTTTTACATGAAACAAGAGTCCTTTGCAGGCTTTAAAAGTCTCAAAATGCCACTTCTACTTCAGTGCCTGCTTGGCCTTCTGCTCCTTTGCTTTCCTTCCTTAATGGTCCAGGGTGGCTTCCAGACTTCCCACTCTGCATGCATCCACGTGTAATAGTGTGAGTCGGTGCAGGTAGTGCCTGAGTATTTCTGTAGTTAAATATATGTCATATGTATTTTTTTAAAATATATTTTATTGATTTTTTACAGCAAGGAAGGGAAAGGGATAGAGAGTTAGAAACATCGATGAGAGAGGAACATCGATCAGCTGCCTCCTGCACACCCCCCACTGGGGATATGCCTGCAACCAAGGTACATGCCCTTGACTGGAATCGAACCCGGGACCCTTCTGTCCGCAGGCTGACGCTCTATCCACTGAGCCAAACCGGTCAGGGCATATGTATTTTTATTAAACAGCTGCACTGAGGAATCATTTACATACTAGGAAAGTCATCCATTGCAAACGCAGTGATTTTTTGTAAACTTACCGTAAATATTAGCAAACGTCACCACAGTCCAATTTTAGAACATTTTCATCACCCCCGAAAGCTCCCTCCTCTCCATTTTCCACCCCTGGGCCATCACTGATCCACTTCCTGCCTCTGTTTGTCATTTTGGGATATGAAACATCATATTTTGTCACCAGCTACTTTCCTTTTAGTCTTTATAGCATACATGTGTCATTATAGTAACTTAAAACATGTATGTAGAAACTGTACTGATCTCTTTGGGTCTGGGAGAGATGGTTCAAATACTTGTTAAGGAGAGGGCCGTTTGGCATGCTGGGGCTGGAGCAGCCAGCCAGAGGGAAGTGGCTCATTTGTTACCAGCCTTCTATCATCTGCCTCTCTCCTGCCTCCGGATCCTCCAAAGCCAGAGCATCCCCCCGTGCCCCGTTGGAGTTGGTGTCTTTGCTGAGGTCACCCAAAATGCAAGAGGGGATTGCGCCACCACGTGTGGTCACACTTCCTGTCCTGCAAACTGGCTTCATGAGTAATTTCTGTTTCTTCCTCCTCCCACAGGGACTTCCTTCCCCGAGGTTCGGGAATTGTCACCCGGCGGCCTCTCATTCTGCAGCTCATCTTCTCAAAAACAGGTATGGTGGGATGAGTCAAAGCTGTAGCAGGAAATGAATGGGCGGAGGGGTCACTGTGTCCTGCAGGAGCCAGGGGTCTTACGATGGAGGCTCTGATGGCGGGACTGTTGTTTGGGTTCGAGTTCATGTTTTCCACGTGTGCAGGGAAGTTGAAGCACAGTTCATTGGACACGGACACCCACCCCAGCATCCCCAGCCATTACCAGGCTGCCGGGTACCATATGTGCTGGCTGTATTGCAGATAACATGTTTTTGCTGAACGCTTTCAAAATCAGTAGCAGACATTGTGACACTTAACCCCAAATGCTTCAGTGCCCCATCCCTTGCAATTGGGCCATTTTGCAGTCACAGACCCCACCAAGAGAAGTAACCAGTCCTGCATGTTACTTAATGTCCCGTCCATACAGGTTGCCAGTTGTCCCCAAATATCCTCCCTGGCTGATTTACAGCCGCTCTGATCAATCCCATGCTACACTCCATTGTTATGTTTCCTGTTTGCATTACAGCAGCATCCCTGCCATTTCTTCTTTAATCACAACATTGACTTTTGGGAGAGACCCGCAGAAGGAATTCCTATGAAACATCATATTTTGTCACCAGCTACTTTCCTTTTAGTCTTTATAGCATACATGTGTCATTATAGTAACTTAAAACATGTATGTAGAAACTGTACTGATCTCTTTGGGTCTGGGAGAGATGGTTCAAATACTTGTTAAGGAGAGGGCCGTTTGGCATGCTGGGGCTGGAGCAGCCAGCCAGAGGGAAGTGGCTCATTTGTTACCAGCCTTCTATCATCTGCCTCTCTCCTGCCTCCGGATCCTCCAAAGCCAGAGCATCCCCCCGTGCCCCGTTGGAGTTGGTGTCTTTGCTGAGGTCACCCAAAATGCAAGAGGGGATTGCGCCACCACGTGTGGTCACACTTCCTGTCCTGCAAACTGGCTTCATGAGTAATTTCTGTTTCTTCCTCCTCCCACAGGGACTTCCTTCCCCGAGGTTCGGGAATTGTCACCCGGCGGCCTCTCATTCTGCAGCTCATCTTCTCAAAAACAGGTATGGTGGGATGAGTCAAAGCTGTAGCAGGAAATGAATGGGCGGAGGGGTCACTGTGTCCTGCAGGAGCCAGGGGTCTTACGATGGAGGCTCTGATGGCGGGACTGTTGTTTGGGTTCGAGTTCATGTTTTCCACGTGTGCAGGGAAGTTGAAGCACAGTTCATTGGACACGGACACCCACCCCAGCATCCCCAGCCATTACCAGGCTGCCGGGTACCATATGTGCTGGCTGTATTGCAGATAACATGTTTTTGCTGAACGCTTTCAAAATCAGTAGCAGACATTGTGACACTTAACCCCAAATGCTTCAGTGCCCCATCCCTTGCAATTGGGCCATTTTGCAGTCACAGACCCCACCAAGAGAAGTAACCAGTCCTGCATGTTACTTAATGTCCCGTCCATACAGGTTGCCAGTTGTCCCCAAATATCCTCCCTGGCTGATTTACAGCCGCTCTGATCAATCCCATGCTACACTCCATTGTTATGTTTCCTGTTTGCATTACAGCAGCATCCCTGCCATTTCTTCTTTAATCACAACATTGACTTTTGGGAGAGACCCGCAGAAGGAATTCCTTTTTTTTTTCTTTCTTGTGAATTTCAGTTGCTTGAATTGAATAAAGAATCTTCCACATGTAGATTTTTTTTTTCCTATACTCCTCATGGTAGCCTTAAGTTTATTTCTGTTCTTCTTGTGCATGTCTGACGTGACATGGGCATATCTCGCAGCTTAAAACCCACTCAGGCCTCTCTCGAAAGCATCTCAGTTCAGAAGGTGGACTGGGTGAGGGGAATATCTGCGGTGGGTTCTCTTTTCTCTCTAGAGCCGTGGCAAACTGAGGCTCGCGAGCCACATGTGGCTCTTTGGCCCCTTGAGTGTGGCTCTTCCTAAGCCTTAGGAGTACCCTAATTAAGTTAATAACAATGTACCTACCTATATAGTTTAAGTTTAAAAAATTTGGCTCTCAAAAGAAATTTCAATCGTTGTACTGTTGATATTTGGCTCTGTTGACTAATGAGTTTGCCGACCACTGCTCTAGAGCCCCTAGGGGTCTCAGTGTAGAGTCTCTATGCTGCTTCCCCATGACCTGGAGTGTCAGCCCTGGTCAGTTCAGCACTGGAAAGGCAACAAAGACATCCATTTTACAGATGGGAAACTGAGGCCAAGCCAAATTACTTGCCGTCCTAGTGGACTCCAGATCTGAAATTTGAGGTTAGACCTCTGACCAGGCTCTCAGCTGTGCCCTAGTCCCACCCTACCCATTTGCCATGGGAGGGCAAGACTCTGATGAGAGGCTGCATCAGATTGGCCCAGCTCCTCTTTCTGAGGGTAAGCCAATGGGCTGCCTCCTCTGGGTTCAGCTGGCCAATCAGCTGTGCCAGGACGGGCAGCTGCGTGTTTCAGAGTTCACATGGATTAGTCACAGGGGGCTTGGCCTACTGGGTTTCTGCTTCCCATTTTGCAGGTTGTTGAGGTAGAAGGGGGATAGTCTGCATTTTAATGAGTTTCCGGGGTATTGCTGATGCTTTTGGCCCCTGGCCATACTGGGAAATCCTCTGACCTGTAGATGGGAGCTGGGAGCTACTGGTAAGACTGCCCAGGTTCAGATCCTGGCTCTGCAGCTTACTGGCTGTCTGTCCCTGGGGAGGGACTGCTGCTCACAGCCATGTTTCCTGCCTGAACAGAGGAGATAATAATAGCGCCTCTTTGTTGTGGCGAAGACCATGTTATTCAGTCTAAGTACATCTTAGAACAGCGCTGAGGAGTGCTGACCCAACAGCTGCAGTTTGGTGCTTGCTGCCAGCCTGTTTGGGGAGAGCCTGCTGGGAGAACAGGTGGGCGGGCTCCCTGCACTGGAAGGTCAGGGCCATGTCATGGTGGAAGGGCTCTCTCATCACCTCCACAGTGGCTGTCACCCGGTGGTGGTCCACTGGCCATGTACCATGTGCCACAGGCTGGTCCAGGGCTGGGGCACCCAGGTGAGCAGGCTCAGGACCTACCACCTGCCCTCCTGGTTCTCCCATTAGTGGTGGGGGACAGATGAGGAAGACTTGGGTGGAGGGACAAAGAGTGAGACACAGGCCTGGCCTTTATCAGATGGGAACAAGTGTGGTGGGGGGAGGGTGGGGACATCACTTGATTATCGTGAACTTTTCCAAAGAATTAATGTGTGAGTTGAGGCTGACAAGTACGATAGGTACTCTCCTTCCCAGCAGAGAGTATGTGAGGATCATGAGATCCCCGTGCCCAGAGTGGCCTGTTGGAGGAACTGAAATTCCTTCTGCGGGAAGGGGAAGCACATGACGAGCAGTGCCCTGGTGGGAGCACCAAGGGCAGGAACTTGACCCAGATTATCTGCCTCGTGCCTGATGCAGATTGACATTGAAATCTTCATTCCTGTTGTCCCCACTTCACAGAGGACTGAACTGAGGCCTCTGAACTGAAACCACTGTCCTGAGGGCACGATGGAGGGTTATCTTGAAAGCCCCATCTTAAATTCACTCTTGGGAAGTGTGGCCGTAGACCAAGGTGACTTGACCAGATCCTGTAGCTGCTTGTGGAGAAGAGACCTACTCAGGGGCAGGGGACCCAAGAGGAGGCGGGAGCAGGTGCCCCGGGACAGATAGGGACGGGGTGGCAGCCATGCAGATGGAGAGATGTACTTGGATTCTGTTGGGTTAGGGCAGGGGTCCTCAAACTACGGCCCGCAGGCCACATGCAAATACTAATATTGTATTTGTTCCCGTTTTGTTTTTTTACTTCAAAATAAGATATGTGCAGTGTGCATAGGAATTTGTTCATAGTTTTTTTTTAAACTATAGTCCGGCCCACCAACGGTCTGAGGGACAGTGAACTGGCCCCCTGTTTAAAAAGTTTGAGGACCCCTGGGTTGGGGTGTGGGAGAGGAGTCCTGGTGTCCCACATGGGAGTGGCCTTTGCTGTGTCCCAGTTCCCATACTCCCCTCCCCCACCTGACCATGGCATTCTAGGTCTCTTAATGATCCAAGTAGATGTGTGGCCACTTTGTGCTGGGCCTGGTTCCGACACCAGCGAGGCACTGAGTCCTCTGAGAGTCCTGGTGCTCCCTGAGCCCAGCCAGGCTGAGAGGGGAAAGCAGCAGAGCATTGCGGAGAGTATACTGGGCACCGGCTCTACTTTGGCCCAGAGGCCCAGGGAGAACACTCTAGGCAAGTCCAACAGTGTGTGTGAAGCTGTGAGATGAGTCTGGGGAGGGCAGGAAGCAGGTGGCACAGCCTGTCAGGGGTGGTGAAGGATTCAGGCAGTGGGAGCCTGAAGGGCACACAGGGTGGGGAGAGCAGCTCAGCCCACTGGCTTTGTGGAGGAGGGACAGGCAGGAGCAGGAGTACTGGCCGGGAGGCCAGGGAGAGGGTAGCCTGGCGAGAAGTGATGGGGCCTGGCCCGAGGTGGAGCCTCGGGTGTGAAGGGCAATCTAGAGTGACCTCAAGGCGGGGAGGCCACCAAGACACCAAACAGCAGAGGCCCTGGGATTGGGGTAGGCAGGTGCAGGTGGGATACCCCACTAATAGGAGGAAGGAAGCTCAGTGCAGTGGGGGACGAAGTGATGGCTCGGGCTCCTGGGGTTACGGCTGTGGGGCTGTGTTGTTCCTAGAGATTGAACTTTTGTCCGGCTGGATCTCTGGGACATGACTTTAGAGCTGCCACCCTGTACTAATGGGGTGAGAGTGCACCCCATGTGGCTGTGGTGTGGCCCTGAGACTGGGCCTCCTTCCTCCCCTCTGACTCCTGCGACACCCAGTGGTGCCCAGCTTCTCCTCGTCCAGACTGGTCTCAGTGAGCCATTACTTTTAATCAGCTTAGGTTGAAAATTACCTCAGACTGCAGCTTACCAGGGTTTGGAGGCTCCTGAGTGAACCCTGCTCCTCCTTAGGCACCACCCCTGGGCCTTGTAAACACTAAGTGCTGGGGACTGTTCTTGTCTGGAATGTGGATGACTAGGGCCTCCTGAGCCTCCCTTCCTGTCCTTGACCTTGGCCGGGCACACAGGAACCGGAGAGGGGATGTCAGGACTCTGTTCCTAGCCTCACTCTCATGGCTTTTTTTTTGTTTTTAAATATATTTTATTGATTTTTTACAGAGAGGAAGGGAGAGAGATAGAGAGTCAGAAACATCGATGAGAGAGAAACATCGATCAGCTGCCTCCTGCACACCTCCTACTGGGGATGTGCCCGCAACCAAGGCACATGCCCTTGACCGGAATCGAACCTGGGACCCTTCAGTCCGCAGGCCGACGCTCTATCCACCAAGCCGAACTGGCCAGGACCCTCTCATGGCTTTGAGGTCCTGACGGGGCCCTGTTGGCCTCTGGGACCTTACCTCCTCTTGGTTACCACCTGCAGCCACAATCTCTCTCCTCATCCTCAAGCTCAGCTCATTTGTTTCTGTCTCAGGCCTTCATCCTCACTGTGCTCCCTGCCTGAAACACCATGCACCATCCTCCCCCTCCTGCTCCCCTAGGGGAGCCCTCCAGTCAGTGCTGCTGTATTTCCTCTGCATCCCATGTTATGTGACATTATCCTGTTCTTTGATTTTCATAATGGTCTCTCTCTGGCCTTGCTCCAGCACCAGTGGCACAAGAGCGGGGATGCTGATATGCGTTGTCCATTGCTTCCTTCCCGCGCCCCCGTGCCCAGCACAGGGCATGACACCCAGTAGGTGCTCCATCAGCATTGGCCAGGTGCCTAGGCATGCTCTAAGGCAGTGGTTTTCAACCTTCTGGCCCTTTAAATACAGTTCTTCATGCTGTGACCCAACCATAAAATTATTTTCGTTGCTACTTCATAACTGTAATGTTGCTACTGTTATGAATCGTAATGTAAATATCTGATATGCAGGATGGTCTTAGGTGACCTCTGTGAAAGGGTCGTTCTACCGCCAAAGGGGTTGAGACCCACAGGTTGAGAACCGCTGCCCTAAGGGCTGCTGCTGTGCCCCTTTTGTTCTGTGGGCGGTATTATCAACGACTGTGCTGTGCCTTCTCCCATGAGCCAGGCTCTGTCAGGGCTCTTTCTATAAAGCCTATAGACTCTGCAGCAGTTGGGTGTGCACCTTGTGTCTCCATGAGGAAACCAAGCTGGGGGCTGGTGAGGGTTTGCCTACGGGGTGACTGGGATGCCAGCCAGGGCTGTCACCTTCTCCAATGTGTGTTCTTCTCCCGTATCACCAAGCAGTTGTCCCAATTTTAGTAGACACTTCCCAGGTATCCTGCAGTTTAACTCATTCTGATACTACCTACCTTCAGATCCCACAGGTTAAAGGCTCAGTCCCACAAGACTGTACCCCGTCCACCCCCATAGACACTAATTACAAGTCCAGATTGTCATCTGTGCTTTTGACTGATTGGCTATAGATCAGAGGTCCCAGTGACCCCCTCCTTAAGTTTCTAGAGCTTAAGTTTCCTTAAGAACTCAGAGAAACATCTTACTAGATTTTCAGTTTATTAGAAGAATAGATAACTCGGGAATAGCCAGATGGAAGAGATGCACGGGGCAAGGTATGGGGAGGTGGCTTGGAGCTCCCAGGCACTCCGTCAGCACCTCCATGTGTTCACTAACCCAGAAGCTCTCCAAATCTGTTCTTTTGGGTTTTTGTGGAAGCTTCATCATGTAGACG